AATATGATTGATGGGCATAACATATGAATAGATCAGTTGTATTTGTTTATCCAGAAATACCCAGCCAAACTAACCAAAGCTTAATGCAGTTTAGCTTACTTTAAACAACATTTCCAGATGTGAGGTTGCACTAATGCCAAAGTTACAATTAAGGAGCCTATGTCACTAGGCAAATAAGATGGGGTTCAGGACTAATTGATTGTAATGTTATTCCCACAGTGGTATCTATCTTTTTCATGCTTCTATTTCAGCTCTCACTCCCACTGAAGTGCAGTAAGAGTTTTATTCTGAAAACAGACTGGGAAAAACTAGTGTTTTCCTACCTCTTTCATGTGATTGTGAGATCTTGGGCAACTGTGAGCTTTAAAAAAATATAATCATGAAGGAGGAGAAGCAACAGCAACAAGCACCAAGTTGTAGAGATGTCTACAAAAAAGAAAAGAGGCTAACAAACCATGGCCAGCCAAAATTTAGAACATTTACAGTATATATCCACCCAATTCAAACTTGAGAATCTGGGCAGCATACAAAATCATTAAAGAAAAAAAAAATACCAATAAAGCAAATTAAAACAATTAAATGACTATGATCTAAAATATATCTCACCAATCAGGAACACTGCTAAACCTGACACAGGGGATGCTGTATATGCTAGGTAGATGTTTTAAATACAGCTAGCATTAAGTCATACTTTACAGCTCATAGAAACATGACTGTTGTGCCATGGATCCAAGTTTATAAACTGGAAAGATCTGATTCACACATCAAGCATAACAATAAGCAGATTGACTCTGTTAAGGCAATGTGTGACAAACTGATATTAGTACTTTGATTATCAGAAGTACAATATTTAGCTTTTAATTCTCCCATATGCTGGAAGAAAAAAATGAAATACATACCCATCTTCCTCCAACTTGATGAGGGGAAATGCTAACTAAGCCCAGAATTTATTCTTAAGTAGCAGCTGGAATAGAAGCCACAAGAATTTTGCTGCAGTTTCCTGAAAGTGCAGAACATTTTAGAATATATTTTAGAGCATTATAATTTCCAGGATGTTTGAGAAAGTCATGCCTCCGACACCTGACTCTTGCAAACATTCTGGAGCAGATTCCCATGTGCTATTATGAACATGAACATTATGAATTCTAAATTCCCAGCCACAGTGATTAATTTTTTCAGCTGCTGCTATGCATATGTAGCTAAAGAAACCTTCTAACTAGAATTTGACCCCAGATAACTTCAGGGACATATTCATGAGTTTTCAAGGCAACCATATGGAAGTCATGTTTTAATTTTTATTTTCTAGCCCATGTATTTCCTGGTGCAGTATACAATCAAATCATTGCCTATCCAAATGATATACTCAGCACTATGCCTCAAAGATTTCAGCAATCTCCTCTCCTCTCCTCAAAGATTTCAGCAATCAATATTAGTGGCAGTTAGTTATGGAAAGAGGAAGAGGTCACTCCTGTCCATATGAAGTGAAAAAAAAATCAAACCCTGGCCTCCAACTGGAACCAACCCAGTGGTGGATGCCAGACATCCTTCAAGACCAGGCAGATTCTGCCTTCCTGTTTCTCCTAGAAAAACTAAAAGCTCAAGTTGTTTTTCCTGTTCTGCGAGGTCAAAGCAAAACCCATTATATAAAGACTCTCCTGAGACTTTTCTGAAGTCCTCAGCAAGAAACCAAGAAAATCCATCAGAAATTGTGCAAACTCTTGAGGTTCATCTCCTTAGCATTTTCTGAACAAAACTGGGAGATGCTTGCTTCACTTTGAAACAGATGTTAAGACAGCTATATGATCTAGTCCAGAAAAGGGAGTAAAAGTATCTTTAAGGCAGATTTTTTTTAAAAAAAGGAATGATTCATAAAATGGCAATAGGAAAGTACCTTGGCTAATATCTTTCTGTTTCCCTTTATTGTTTTACAGGTCAAACAGCCAGCTTTAGCAATGGCACTTAGACTTATGTACAGCTTCACAGTGTTTTACAGCCCTCGCTAAGCAGTTTACAGAGTCAGCCTATTGCCCCCAACAATCTGGGTCCTCATTTTACTGACCTCGGAAGGATGGAAGGCTGAGTCAACCTTGAGCCGGTGAGAATTTTAGCCTCCAACAAGTAACATATTAAAGATTTTTGCTACAATACTAAAGACATAAGAAACTTTAATTGCCCCTTATTGCCAGTGTCTCGGTGATATCACACATGAACACCCTTCTACAGCATTGTCACTTGTTGGAGGAAGTGTCTTCCATTTTAGCTCCTACAGCGATGTCCTAAAAGGAAAGCCATAATCAGGGGCGGAGACAGACTGATTAAAAGAGAAAGAAAAGCCAGCTTTCTTATAACACCATTAATGCCAAATCCGAGCACTTTCCTTATATTCACATGCCTCCTGCTTTAAATGTAAGCCCAGTGCTCTTATTCAGTTGCTCACTACAGAATTCTTTGTATATCTGGGTAATTTATTTGCTGCCTCAGTTTCCCAGTTCCAGGGTAGACGTAGGGGGCTACAGCTGAGATACAATCTTCCCAAAGTCATAGAGACTGTTGACATCTCTGAACGAGAGAGACTGGAACATCCAAACTATTACAGGTAGTCTTCAGCGAATGACCACAATTGAGCCCATATTTCTGTTGCTAAGTGAGACAGTTGTTAAGTGAGTTTTGCCCCATTTTATGATCTTTCTTGTCACAGATGTTGAGCGAATTACTGCCATTAAGTTAGTAACCGGGTTGTTAAGTGAATCTGGCTTCTCCCCATTGACTTTGTTTGTCAGAAAGTCAGAAAAGATAATCACATGAGCCGGGACACTGCAACCATCGTAAGATGAACCAGTTGCCCAGCATCTAAATTTTGATCACATGACCACAGGGATGCTGCATGCGTGGCAAGAGTGAAAAATGGTCATAAGTAAGTTTTTCCAGTGCTATTGGAACTTTGAAGCTGTTGTAAGTTGAGGACTTTCTGTATTTTGGAGCTTTAGTTTGCAAAAATCTTTCTTGCAGATCAGCTCACTTTAATTACTACAAATGGACGATCAGTTAGTGATCAGAACCTTGCATGCCTTTGGAATGAAATGTCCATCAGAGGACAGGGAAGTAAACCCAGCCTGTCAAAGGGCAAAGAAATAGATGGAAGTCAGCTTAGTTAATTTAAGTGATAACTCTTGCCAAGGTTTGCCCAAAGCATCCAAGGGCCAGGTGGTGCTTTCTGAAAAGAAAACCAAAGAGCTTTCAGCTATTGTGAATTCCCATTTCGGAAACACCTATATTTTACTGCGCTGTTCTTAGCTTGCAAAATAAGCAATATATATCACTTAGGTACCTTAACTTTTCATGTGGCATTTAAGGAACAGCAAACCCAGAAATGGCACTACTTTTAAAAATTCTAATGCATAGGAAGTGGGATAAAATAATGAAACATTAGTTATAAAGGCAACCCCATTCACTTTTGCATCAGGCATCAGGAGATGAAGACCCTTAGAAGCCAGTCAGCTTGGGCTCCATTCTACCTCATCTGAACATTTCCAAATTCAAAAGGAACCAAAGTAGAGCCACAGAATAGATGGAATGTTGTAGAAGATACCTGGAGGGAAGTGAGCATGTTACAGAATCAGAGTTGTCATGGCAAAGCTGGGCATCATGCAATGAAATCCCAGTTGGCAAGGCAGAAAGACCTGGTTCTCTGTATATTTCTGTCAATCCTAAACACACCTCCTGAGCAAGGGGGGAAATCAACAAATTTCGGACGGGGAGGGAACGTCATTCTCTTTTGCAACCCATGTTTGTATGGAGCGGTGGGGATGTGGTTTCCTCTTGCCTTCCTTTCCTAGTAATCTGAAACTGAACACACATACCCTGGAGAACAAAGTGCTTATTTTACCATTTAAACGTGAAGCCAAACACTAGCAAAAGTAGATGGAGGTTAATAGAGACACATGTCATACAGGTGTTACAAAACTGGAAACTTGGCCACAGAAGAATTATTATTAAATATTGTTGGGGATTGCAGTAATAATTCTGGCAAAAATTGGTTTTTTTTTTCTTTTTTCCTGGCTAATTGTCAGATTGCTCACAATTCTTCTCTCCACTGCCATACAAAAGACTGCAATGGAGAACCTTTCTGTCCCAGCTAAAAACATCCAGGTCTCATCCCGAGACTTGACAGCGCTATGCATTCACAGGGGTGCTATTTTACTCTCTGGAAAGCTGTGATAAAGGGTCAGTGGATTTGCCAGTTCCCTGGCAAAGTTATAATATGCATTCTGTTCTGCTTAACCTGCCTATTAATAAATTCAAGTGTCAGAAAAAGCTATCAACCTTCCTCAACTTCCCTCGGAAGGAAGCCCAACCAGAGCAAGAATTGCACCTGGGAAAGTGATAGGGGAGTAAGATCCAGGTTTCCAACTTCAATAAATTCCCTTGACCCCGCAGGATGACGTGCCAGGACAATGCCTATGAAAGCAGCGGGCTTTACCGAGACCCCAAGAAATTTAAAAGGTGTCTCACTCTGTTATTTGTATTTGAAGCAGGTGGCGCAGTCTGCTGAATAGACCAATATACAGTATACAGGAGTAAGCAACAGAGGAACTGCACCTTCCTGCCACAACAGCAGAAAAGCACTCCATACATGTTCAGAGTCCTCGCATTTAGAGGCCGAGAACAAGAGCCGCAATGGAATCCAGAGGGATTCGAAAGAGACGGAACGCGACCAAGGCTCCAACTACTCGAAGTAGGGCGCGCCGCTTTCGCAGACTGCCGACAAGGCGCCCTGCCCCAGCTTTGGCGCGGAGGGTGAAGAATCCCCAAGGCCGCGGAACTCTCGCGGGGAAAGACCCCCTTCCCGCGCGCCGCTCCTGATCCATAGCGCTCTGCACGTGCTCGGGAACATCTCGCCACCCACCCTTTCGGCAACGCCTCGGCTACCGAGCTGCCGCTCCGCGAGGCGGAGACGGGGCACGTGCGAGGGAACCAGAAGCTGCGCCGCAAAAGCTCACCTGGGCGCGGCGGCGGCGGCGGGTCGGTCGCCATCGCCTCTTATGCTGTCCAGCGCAGCGCCTCCCCGTTCGCCTCTCCTGGCCGCTTGCGCGCCGTCTCCAGCGGAGAAACTGCGTCTCGATCCCCGGCCTGACAGAGGCTCCCGCTCAGCGCTGGAGGAGCTGCTGCTGTTCGCACCGCCGCCCCCCTTCCTTTAAAGGCACAGCCGCCAATTCGCGGGGAGGGGAGAGGTCTCCTTAAGCGGCTGGGGAGGGGCTGCCGACCCACCCCGAGCCGAGGCCCCAAACTGACGGCACCCTCCCGGTGGCGCAGGGCTGCTGCAGCAGCTGCAGGTTGAGCCGCCGCGCAGCCAGGCAGAAACCTTGAGTTGGAGAAGCTGCACCCGCTGTCACGCCCCTGTGGCAAAGCACCGGCGGAGGGCCGGAAGAGGGATCGGCGCCCTCGCAGCGGCTCTTCTCACTCTGCCCCACGCGTCGTTGAGACCAAACTCGATGGGAGGATCTTCCGTGTCCAGAGCAAGAAGGAGGTCCTGAGCATGTACAGAGCGCATTCTCAAAGGGATGTCTGCACAACCGGCTTGAAAGAAAATTTAGCGATGGCTGTGTTCGTTTGATATGTTAAGCTTGGCTGGAATGGGAAGTGATCAGGTTATAAGACAGTTAGACAGCGGTATATTGTGCAAACTCACAGTACGGGCAAATTCAGTAACCATGTTGTGTTGTGTGAATGAACTCAATGCATTTATCTTTCCAGTTCTGGAATTATGGCAATACCCTTGCTGTAGGAAATCCCAAGGAATCTGGGTTGTTGAAATTAAAGATACAGGTAATCTTTGACTTAGGATCACAATTGAGGCCAAAATTTATGTTGCTAAGCGAGACATTTGTTAAGTGAATTTCCCCATTTTACTACCTTTTTTTGACACAGTTATTAAATGAGTCACTGCATTGGTTAAATTAGTAACCCAGTTGTTAAGTGAGGCTGGCTTTCCCATTGACTGCTTGTCAGAAGGTCATAAAAGGTGATCCCATGATCCTGGAACACTGCAACCATCAGAAATATGACTCAGTTGCCAAGCATCTGAATTTGATCACATGACCATGGAGATGCTGCAGCAGTCGTAAGTGTGAAAAATGATCATAAGTCACTTTTTTCAGTGCTGTTATAACTTCGAATGGTCACTAAAGAAACTTGTAAGTCAAGGACTACCTGTATGCTGGCGGGGATATCCCCTTCCAAGCTCATAAAGGTCAGTGCTTTAGCCTTCCCTTCAAGTTACAGACTAGGAGGTCCTGTCTTTCTGCCCTCCATAAAATAACATGGGCTGCACCTGTTACCTGTCTGAATTCACTGGTGGAGCCAGCCTTTCCTGGGGATGAGGGAGGGGGAGGGGAGGTCCAGTTGCAATGGCACAACTTTCAACAGGCCCCCCACAACACATGGTCCTTGGCTGAAAAATCTGGGACTTGTACCCACAAAGTTGGAGGATAACCGATAGGGAAGGATGCACAGTTCATGCACACTGGAGAGAGGAAAACTTACATTTTCTTCTGCTCTGTCTCTGCCTACTAGGTGGGTAGGCAGTTAGACCCAGATTTCAGAAAGAAACGCAGAAAACTGATGGTCCCATCTATTATCCTCTGTTCTCACCATCAATGGCTCTCCAAAGTCTTAGACAGAGACTCTGATACTCTTTGATACTAGATTCTGTTTCAGTGTGAACTGCTAGGGTTGAATCCAGAATGTTTAGTTTGCTGAAATTGTGATTACATTCCACCAGATCTTTATTATGGTCATAGACCAGCATAAAGAAAATGTAATACAAACAATAATTTTAAAAAAGCTAAAAAGTATAAAAACAAAAGGTATACAAGATTAAAAAGCATTCAAAATACATTTTAAAAGGCTAAAATATATGAAAAATAAAAATATCTATTAAAATTAAAACAAGAAATACAAGGGAACATAAAAGTTAATATATGACTAACTAAATCTATCACAATACAAAACACTCTTGCCCAACAAATTAAATGCTCATTAAGGCTGGTCTGAGGCACAGATCATCATCGGATGGATTTTAGGCACTGCTGCGCAGAACCTAGCAACATTATATGTTATAACAGAATTAGTTTCTGCAAGCAGTAGGGAGGTATGCAAGTGTCCTGTGTGCCCTGAATATTTATATAATAATGGTGAGATGAGGCTAGTACGAAAATGTCTGTAATACAGGCACTAGAGAAGCACATGCTTTGTTGTTTCTGTATGTCCAGGTCATGGGCATTATTTTTCCGAGTAAGAATTTTTTTCTTATGGGCCTTCATGGGCAGCTTCATGCCAGCATAAAGGCCTTCCAGTGACTTTGAGGTTGGTTGATTATGTCATGGGAAAAGCAGAGTACCCACTTGCAATAAAGTTTGGAGACCTGGCTAGGTCCAAACCAAAAGATCCAGCAGCCCTCAAAGAAAAAAAAAAAAACAGGCATCATCTACAACATTCAATGTAAGGACTATAACAGCCAGTATGTAGGACAAACAGGCAGAAGACTAGCAGTGCGTATTCATGAACACCATCTAGCAGTCAAGACATGATGACAACTCCTTAACTTCACAACTCATGGATAGACTTAACCATAATTTCAACTATGAAACTGTCAGCATCCTAGATCAGGCCAAGTCCCAAAACACTAGAGAATTCCTGAAAGCCTGGCACTCAGACAAATCGACCATCAACAGACAAATATAGATAAACAACACCAACATGTCATTCAAAAGAGACAATCAAAAAGCCAAAAAGGAAACAAAAAGATCAAAACACCTCCTCACTAGCAACCAACACACAGAGGAGCAAAGATTAGCACCAAGCTTTACACTAGACTTAACAATCGAGAAGTAAACAATGCTCCAATGGAGTATCTACCAATGCAGACAAACAAGTTAACAGTAAAGAATAGCCTAATCAAGGGATCATCAAGTTTACACCCAATACTGATGGGAAACCACTAGTATATAAAAATAAAAGTAAGCCTTACTCCCTTTTAGCACTGAAGATGTAACCTAGTTTGATAATGAAATTTCTGCAAGAAAACTACTTAACTCAGAGAGCACCAAGGACCCCACATTCTGTTTTAAAAGCTAAAATAGAATGTGAAATCTTGCCATTTGCAACTACTGTAGAAACTGGAGGCAACATCAGAACAGATATACAACCCCTGAGATGCATATTCCCCAGCCATAAAATGGCTCCCCTTCTAACACGTTCTGTGCTATGTAATATTTCATATTTTCATGCCCATTCTCCTTCAGTAATTCCCCTCCCCCCAGAACCAAACCTTATCATAGTGCTTTGTGGACTTTTGAGTGAAATTAACTTGACTGTGCATGTCCTTGAGAAATTGATTCCTCATATATCTTTCCATCCTGTTTCCACTCCACTGTTACTAGATCAAAAGCCCTTACTCAGGCAAAATGCTTTAAACATGGCACAAGTTTCTTTTGTGGCACCAACCCATGGTTTCACAGCACCAGCAGTTCATAGAATCATTTGTTGGCTTTCCCACAATTGTTGTGATTGACACCCATTAATTTGATTATTAAAGCCTAACCATTTTTACTGCCATAAAGAAATAATCAATTCTGAAAGCCCTGACTTTCACTGCTGCATTTTATGTAGCTTTCTAAAGAAAAAGAAAAGCATGCACAGGAAATATTTAGTAATTTATACCATTGAAACTGTCAACAGCAATGGCTGCCCTCTACAAAATTTAGAACCAAACCCAGATGAAAGGGGACAAAATGTCCTTGGAAAAATTGGGGTTGAATCCTAAGGCCTGAAAATGATCTCTGGAAGTCCAGTCACCATCACCACTCCTTGCTCCACACAGGATTTACAATGCTAAGATAGTCTTGACCCTAAAAAAGGACACATGGACATTCGCTTAAAGGAATCGCTTAAATCACCACCTCTTGAGACATTCTGATTTATTGTCAAACAGTTCCTAATGTTAGAAAGTTTCTCCTAACAGTATTGGCACAATCTTTTTTCTTTATAATTTTCCTTATAATTTCCTTATATAGTCATTATAATGATTCTAATCCTAACTTCTGTTGCCCAACAGAAGACTCTCCATTTTCTGTGTGACTACAGACATATTTGAAAATTTGCAGGCTATTTATTGTGTTTCTGCTTAATCTTCAGGCTGAATCTATCCTGTACTCCACTTACAGGGATAGATCAGAATGAATAATATCTGAAAGCAAGATCCAGAAACAGTGAGTTGCTAAATGCCCCTCAAAAGATAGTGAAACCTGGAATTAATAGATCCTCATTTAGAATTCAGATGCAATGCAATGGACAAATTTTTTATTCAGACATCTCTCCTGAATAACAAACATATTCACTGCATCCAATGTAGCTCAGATGACACAATTAAAAAAAAAAAAACCTTTGTTAATTGACTTTATTTGCAGCTCTTTCTGTAATGGCATAATTATGCAAATGACAGAAATTACATTGGTTGAGTCAATTTACATACGTGTAATGCCATTATGCAGTGATGCAAACTGTGTCATTTTTGTATGATGCAAATAATGCATTATGTAATTTATTTAATTTGCATTTTGACATCATGATACAAATAATGTAAAACAACATGAATGATATAATTTCATCTTAATGGATGTTCAGAAAGGACATCACGTCTCTCTGAATGGACTGTTAAATAAAGATTTCCTTGGACTTTTGATAGGCAGAGGCAAATGTTGATAAATCCTGGTTGATTTGATTTCAGGGTAGGCAGTCTTTTAGGGCAAGGGGCATATTTGAAAGGATCTGAAAGGCTTTCATGAGAAAAGTGTTTATTTGCAGAAATGGCCTCCATTTGTTGGGGAAATGAGCTGACAGAAGTTGGAGGGAATTTGGCAGGAAGCAGATTCTTGTCCCATTTCAGTCAGATTTCAGCCCAAGGAGACCATTGGTCATGCTTTCAATGACCTTTGGCAGATCTAGGATGGGTATGATCAGTCCAACCTTGTGCTGGTTAATCCTTCAGACACTTTCAATACTATCAATCACGGCATCCTTTGAAACTGGCTGCAGAGTAAACAATATTACAATTGTTTTCTCCTTACATTCCCAGTAAGGTCAGAGCATGCATAAAAAATAGGATCTCTCAAGTAAGATGCTTCAGAATGCCTTGTAGCCTAAACTGGGTTTGTCTATCTTCCTTACAGTTTTAGGCTACAAATACTTCACATGAAATCTTCCTTCTTTGGAAGGACAATTCCTGATAAGTACAGTAGCAGCATGAAACCTGGTACCAGAGAACAAAACCATACCTGGGTTCTGAACAGAAGTCCTTTCTAATGATGCCCATCTTAACACCAGCAGATAAGCCAATTCAGAATAGAACTGGAAGGGACCTTGGAGGTCTTGTAGTCCAACCCCTGCTCAAGCAGGAGACCCAGTACCATTTCAGAAAAGTGTCTGTCCAGTCTGTTCTTAAAAACCTCCATTCATTGAAGAACCCTCAACTTCTGAAGGCAAGCTGTTCCACTGGTTAATTGTTCCCACCGTTTTGAAGTTTCTCCTTAGTTTCAGGTTGCTTCTCTCCTTGATTAGATTCCATCCCTTGCTTCTTGTCCTGCCCTCTGGTGCTTTGGAAAAAAAGTTGACCCCTCTTCTTTGTGGCAGTCCCTTAAATACTGGAATAGTGCTATCATGTCCCCCTAGTCCTTCTTTTCTCCAGACTGGCCATTCCCAAATCCTGCACCCGTTCTTCATATGTTTTAGTCTCCAGGCCTTTAATCATCTTAGTTGCTCTTCTCTGTACTTTTTCCAAAG